AAAGCGTCTAAACCGCCCAGTTTTTTGCCGGTTTTTCACCGTTCTCGAAATTTGTTGAAAACCGGCCGGTCTTTTTGCCGTTTTTCACCGGTCTAAAAAGATTTTTGGGCCGGCCGGTCACCGGTCGATCCGGTCCGGTCTGCTGTTTTGAACCGGCCGGCCCGGCCCGGCCTCTTATTTTTAGACCGGTTCCAACTCTGATGTACTCATTCATGAGAGTAGTTGGATGCTTCTCACCTGAATGAGATAAAGAGACTTTCCCTATTTCTATGCATGTGTAATCCTTAAATGTACAGTCAAACATTTATATTTTGTAGGCCTGCTGCGTAAGTTTCTTGTTTGGCCGTCGGAAATGTTATGGCCAGCTAATCTCCCTCTTATTGTTTGTTTACGTACCATGCATGAAACCGAATCTGATTTGACTTCGAAATGGTTAAAGTTGACAAGATTCAAATTTTTTGTTATTATTACAATTCTTGCGTTTATCTATCATTGGTTACCATTGTATATGATGCCTGTTCTTGCGTTTTTTTCATGGATGTGTATGATGAATACAAAAAGTATTGTTTTATCACAACTGACTGGTGGTGGAGGCTTAGGATGGGGTACACTGCAATTTGACTGGTCTCAAATAACTGCACAATTTGGATCGGCAATCATTACACCTCGTTGGGCACAATGCAATATTTTTATCGGTTACGTCCTTGTCATTTGGATTATTTTGCCGATCTTGTACTATTCAAATTTGTGGCATTTCAAAACGTATCCGATTGTTTTGCAAAATTTTTTTAATTTACATCCAAACGCGACTTATCATTCAGACACATATCATTTCAGCGTCACATTTATTATCGGTTATTGGTTTTATTTGGCTTCCTTCGTCTCACTGATTGTACACACAATTCTCTATCGTGGACACGATATTATAAGATATGCTAGTACATCATTGAAAAAGCGTCAAAACGATATTCATTGTACTCTGATGTCAAAATATTTGGAAGCACCAGATTGGATTTATGGGATTGTATTTTCATGTGCATTTGTCTGTGCCTGCTTCGTCTGCCATTTTGGTGGACTTATGCCTTGGTATTATTTACTTTTATGTGTTTCAATGTCATTTTTCATTCTATTACCAACGGGTATTGTTGTTGCAGAAACAAATATTCGAATGGACGTCATCTACCTTTGTGCTACAATCGGTAGTATGCTTATTTATAATCGAATAACTAGCGTTAAGCATACTACGACAATTGCGACATTTATAGGTTATACGTATGCAATCCAATATCAGGCACTTTTTCTCCTAAGTAATTTGAAATTAGGTTTGTCTTATTCAAAGATCATATAAACAATTGTCACTTAATTCTTTTTCGTTTCTTACAACAGCAATAGAAACAAAAGACGCAATATTTGAACAATGCAATCATTTTATGAAAATCTCGCCGAGAATCATGTTTGCTACGCAATCAACAATAACGCTTATGTCATGTATAATTCGATGTGGAGTAATGCACTATGTGTACGAAAAGTTTGGTAACTTATGTGTAAGCCCCGAATGGCTATGTTCTCACACTGGTATACAAGTACTAGCATTTGCAGTCCAAGGTCAGTACATTTTCAAATATTTTGTAGAAGCAGCGGGTCATGAAGCTCTGCATTTTCTGAATATTGCGAATTCAACAAAAAATCTATGACTAAGAAACATGCAGTTCAGCTGGTGAGGTCTTTTGAATTCCGATTTTGGTTATCAAAATTTGCTTAGCGTGCGACGTAGGTTCTACGACAAAAAAACTATCAGCTCTAAGAATCTTTGTTTCTTCAAGTTACGCATTCAATTGCCAAAGATCATCATGTAAGACAAATTCATTCATGACAAAAGTTGAAATATGTCTTTATCAAAATTTGATCCCGTATTTTCTATAAAAAGCATGTCAGAACTCTCACTCTTCATGTCTGACTGCGAAAAAATGCTTATGAGGTGCATCGAAAAGAAAGCATCCATATGAGACTAAAAGGATCACCAGTTATTACCTTATGATTTACCTTGAACGACTAAACAGTATATCGAAAATTGAAATAAAGCGCGAACTAAATAAAAAAAGCGAGACGAAATTTCAAAAACGTTTTCGTTGGCCATTTTTCTTAGTCGAGCTACATTTCTGCTAGTGGGCAGGCAACGTAGTTCAAACGTGGCATGATACCCAGGTAAAGAAAAAAAAGTGGTTGACTGGCGTCCGGACTAGTCTGGAAAACGACAATATTTTAGAAATTTCCGAGAGTACGTTCTGATGTACTCCCGGACGCCAGTCAAGGTGCCAGTTATGGACGAAGAGGTCCAAAAAGTTAAAATGACGCCCATCGGGTTGCGTGATCTGTGTATAGTCAAGACTATGGCGGCTGTCGTGCCGTTGCGACACAGTCATGCTGCCCGTCTTGACGGCATATGTGCCTCTAATTATGTTGTAACAGCAAACACGTCATCCGTTAGTATAGCTGGACGTCGCGTCAAGCTCTACGTCCAGACTAGTCTGTCTTTTCGAAAAAGATTTCAGAAAAACGTCAGAAATACCGTCTGGATCACGTTCAAGACGTGCGTCTTGAATGTAATATCTGTGTACCAATCTTGCCACTCAGTGGCAACTGACGTTGTATCAGTTGACAGTGTCAACTGATACAACGTCCTGACTGTATATCAGACGTCCTTCTTTTGCACCGGAAGAACTGTATCGTCCATGAGCACGAGAAGACGCTACGTCTGATACAGAATCTGGACTAGTCACTTAATTAAAAAAATCTGTAAGGGAAAGGGGTGTAAGAGTCTTATGTAAAACACGATCGACTCTCCTACAAAAAGATCGCAGTACAGCACTGGAAAACGACCGACACTACCAGTGCGCACGGCATACTACGTTGCACCGGTACGCACTAGTTCCACATTTTACCAGCCACTGTTTTGTTGTCCACGATTGATTCCAATATGTTTTACTCGGACTTTTCTTTGAGAACATATTGCAATCAAATTTTAACGCGTTTGTCGAGCAGACAATGCTTTTGTCATGTTATAATCTCTATCTGAAGAGAAAAATCAGTATGAGTCAGACAGTAAATTCAGAAGATGTGTAAGTTGATGGATTTTTCGGTGATGACCATGATTCTGCATAATGCTGAACGAATCTGTCCGTAGATTATGTAATTCTAAGCGTAGCCAGCTTTCGCTTCGACTAGGTATTCACCGGTATCGGAAAACGGTGATAAGTATGAAAAGTGGTGATAAGTATTTTTACCGTCGTTGTTATATCCTTGCCAGTGCTAATTCTGAACCACTAACATTTTCTTTTAAACTTTAACTGTTATCTCTCCAGTCCAAATGGCACTGAAATCCGGTTACCCCATTGCGTCTATGTCAAGCGCTACCGAGACAATGAGCACTAGGTAGCTCGTCCAAGACTACCCAGGTAAATAAAAGACGGCTAAAAGTGGGGTGCGTTTTTGGCCTCGGACGGGTGGCCAAGGCCAAAAAAGGTGTGGGCAAAATGCCACTTTTGAACGGGATGACGGCGTATGGACGCTAGAAAAAGACGGGTGGGGCGCCTGTCCGGACTAGTGTTGTGACTATATACCTGCCGTGTTTCAATTACTTTAAATCAACATTATCAGACACCATCAAGATGACCGTCCCGACGCCCTTCTTGAACAACAAGTCCGGTAGCGAAACATGACGCCCTGTCTGCAGGTATGACTGAGGTCCACAAAGTGTCACTTTGTGCAGAGCAATGGCGTCCAGTCATTGTTGTGTTTTGGACCCCTTTGAGCCATCCAGACAGTCATCTTGATAGTGTCCGCTAATGTTACTAGTTCCACATTTTTCGAGTCACTGTTTTGTTATCTACGGTTGATTTAACTACGTTTTACTCGGACGTTTCTTCGAGAACATAGCGCAATCAATTTTAACGTGTTTGTCGAGCAGACAATGCTTTTGTCATGCTATGTCTATCTGAAAAGAAAAATCAGTATGAGTCAGATAGTAAATTCACTTTCAGCCGTCTTTTATTTACCTGGGTAGTTTTGGACGAGCTACCTAGTGCTCATTGTCTCGGTAGCGCTTGACATAGACGCAATGGGGTAACCGGATTTCAGTGCCATTTGGACTGGAGAGATAAAAGTTAAAGTTTAAAAGAAAATGTTAGTGGTTCAGAATTAGCACTGGCAAGGATATAACAACGACGGCAAAAATACTTATCACCACTTTTCACCATGCTTCTCCATACTCGAAGATACCAAGATGTTTCGATGTCTTTAGATTACAAGTCCTCGAAGGAAAAATATCCCAGACTAGTTGCATATTCACTTATGACGGCCTCGAGTTACTTGTAGCTGTGGGTGGACTAATGTGATGCCGCCAAGATATTTTAATAGAAGCCCGACTTGACTGAAAAAGGACAGAAAGGCCGCATTTAAAATGCTTTTCCTACTGACAACGGAACTGTCGAAGTATGTCATCTCGAACTGAGTTCGAGCAGATCTCTTTTTTCACAGTGCTTTAGACGTTTTCCAATACTGAAAACTTGCGTTCTCTGGTCAACCTGTTCAATAGTTAAACCCATCCTGACCTCTGCTTCGCCAGATAAGACCATTTCTTAAAACGATCATAAATTTTGATAGAAAGATTGCGGAGACTACATGTACATTTCGTTTTAGCGAGAAGAGTCAATCTCTGACTAAATGTGTTGGATGATAGGGTCTAACATTAGAGCAAACAATAGTTTAGTAGCGATACATTACAACGACAGTAATTGTGCGATTGTATCTGATGGATGTCTGTCGTAGCGAAAGTTGGCTACGCTTAGAATTACATAATCTACGGACAGGCTCGTTCAGCATTATGTAGAATCATGGTCGTCCCTGAAAAATCCATCAACTTATATGGACTGGTGTCATTCAAAAGCTCCATCAATTTTGAATTTTAAGACGACAGAAATGTTTATCTTGACGAACCCTGTCGTCCTATACAGAAGCGCCTCGATCTTAGTTTGGAGCTGAAAATCAATACTAGTGACCCTCCTCCCGTTAAAGCATTGTTCCTCTAAAAAGTTTCGGAGAATCAGTTTTATGTGGTCATATATCTTTTCCCTTATGACCACGTGCGAATTCGTGCATAGTTCACGTCTGGTCACAAGCTGGCTGTACTTCAATCAATCAGTTCGTTAAGCAACTGTTTAACGAAAGCTAAGCACTGCAGTTATAATGCACATTATAAGATATGACTGGTCTGCTTGCATGCATACAGAGTAACATCATATAAGCAGACTAGATGTCGGCCTTTGCTGTAGACCGAAGATATTTTCTGTAGCAATATGCCTGGAAACTATCTTGTTTCCCGATATTAACTATAAAAAGTTGGAAGCTAGGAAAAAAGATTCTCATGCACGGTTAAGAGATCTATTCAATAGTTTCTCAAGCAAGTTAGCCCAATAGTAGTATCGTAGATTTCTAATTCGGAGTACCCTAGTTCGACTCTTACTTTGTCGTGATATATATAAAATGGTCTCTAGAAAGCGCATTTCCTCGTGTAGAACCTTCGTTTTGGTCTTAAATGAAGCAGGATGTCGAGATTTATATAGATCAATAAAAAATATTCCTGGTAATTTTTTGGAACAGGTCTCCAGAAAAACTCCTGTTTTCCAGCAATCCTGGTAGATTTGGAATACATTGGAAGATCTTTTTGAACCCACCAATTGATAGTCCATTCATTGGAATCAGCGTGCAAAATTGCATCGGAAAATGTGTTTCTTGTCTTCTGCTCTTTAAATCGATGTAATGGTGGTAGGGTCTATATGGATTTACCCTTCCATCAAAAGTTTTGGTAGAAATTTGCTCGTGCAACATGCCATATGTATACACAAGTAAACGATCTCCACTCATGAACGCGCGTTTGATGTTGCAAGTGCATGATCCTGAAGTAGTGAAACTTGCTATCTTTACCTTCCAAATTTTAAAGAAAATTTAAAGAAAAAAGTGCTTTGCTAGAGTATTTTAGGCGGCATTGATATTTATGTTTTTTCTCACTCAAACTCAATTACAAAAAACTTTTTTGTATGTTCTTTGAAGTTCGGACTTTGCCTTTCTAACGGAAAAACAATTAAATCGCCAGAGCATCAGCAACATGAGCAAATAATGCTCGAGATTTTTTTCATTTCTTTTGCATCGTATAATATTAACTTTGTGAATAGTTGTCAGTTGATAGAGAAAACTGAAGGATATATGTAATAAGGTGTTCTCTTCAAACTGACATAGTTTGAGGGCACATATAGGGGGTTGGACCTCCTTAATTGAAACGGAGAGTTGAAAATCTTGTTTATGATGTTTAAAACGTAAGGTGCATTATTTCACGAGAAAACATCTTGATAAATCGATTGGTCCACCGAAACAAATGTTCAGAAAACTGTTTTGTATTAACATATTTCCGTTTTGATTTTGTTCGTTTTAGATTTGAAAACAGTAATTGGTTTAAGATCAGTTTATTCTCCTATGATATGGACACTTTTGATTTTTGGTCTGCTGCCAATCCCATTTTGGCTTTTGTATCGACGATATCCCAACGGACAAGTCTTCAGACATGTTCACATTCCACTTATGTTCGTTACATTTCTTAATATTTCAACAAAAACTGCTGCATCATCTGCAAATTATCATTCGTGGCTACTTGTCGGTTTTATTTTCTATTTTTTCATAAGACGGTGGTGGTTTGAACGTTACGCACTACTATTTTCTATATCAATGGACATTGGAGTTAGCATAACGTTATTTTTTGTTTACTTTATTTTCACGAATCGTCATGCTTCATTTCCGCAATGGTGGGGATTGGGTGGAAAGTATGGTGATGGATGTCCTCTATCAAAAGCGAATTATTATGGCCGAACTCAAGGTTTAGTGATAAATCAGACTTACTTCTAAGCAAACCCCCATTTTTTTTCGGAACTCCCATTTTTACAATAATCGAGAACTGAAGTATCGGAGTTGAATTATAATAGTAAAGACAAATTTCCACGTCAAAGCTGTGCCACAGTGAGCAATTTTGATTAAGCACGTGGACATGAGTTTTGAAAGCAGTCCAAACGTATCTAAACCATTTTCTATAGGTTTTCTACGACGCTTTTTCCAACCGAATGGTTCTCGAGTTTTAAAAAAGTTTCCCAAGGGGTTCTTTAGAAAATGTAACTTATCTCGTCTTAAATAGGATTTTGTACACCTAATCGTGGTTTCTTAATTTTTTATTTTGTGAGGAACAATAATGAAAAAGCGCTTTCCGTTTTTCACCTGGAATGATGTCTGACCATTTACATTTAGCGTCATCTGCTGCATTACAATTATTACTCGAACTACTGCTATTTTTACTACAGTTTAATTAAAATGCAGCATCTGTAAATGATGCTTTTATTAACTAACATAGTCTTTCTTTTTCTTGGTCAGAAAGTTTGGATAAAATTATCCAAGAGTTTGAATTTTGCATCCGGCAAAAGTGCGAACAATCAGAAAAATTCAAGTAATATAAATAATGTTAAACATACTTCTGTATTATTGCAATCTTTCAATGTTCATTTAATACATTGACCGATATTTTAATTATTTCATAACAATATTGTATTAACTGTTCCAACGAGTTTTACAAATGTCGGGTATTGAATATTTATTTACTTCGAAATTTTAGCGAAATTTAGTGCTCTGATGTGATTTGCTATTTTATCAACCTTAGTTAACGAAAACAAGCACAGTTCGATTCTTTTAAACGGTCAATCGCTACAAGTCTCCCACTCCTTTCATCCATCAATATTCTTATACTACGTAGGTTCACGGGGAATAGGCGATTCTCTGAAGCCCAAGCGTCAAAAAAAAATCTAGTATCGCCCGATTTATCTAGAAGACCAGATTTTTACTCGATTGCAACTACTGTGTAACGACAGTGGAAATCTAGTAATTGGGCGATTACTAGATTTTTTCTAGTTGCAACTATCGATTTATCGCCCGACAATCGATCGATTTAGCTATTACTAGATGCATAAATTTTTCCCTTTGGTGATATTTGCTTGGGAGAGAGGAAACGCATGATGAAAGAACAATGCGAAAGAAATAGACATGAAAAAGAAAAAACGAGAATGTAGAATATATAAACATTGAACGCATGTTCACATCGCTTTAAATTGGCAAAAAGTGACAGTATACAAAAAAATGAAAAAATATGAAAGAGCTGATATGTACAGAAAATGGAACAAATTTTCGTTTTCTACTATTAGTTGCACAATCTAACTTATGCAATATAAAGCTGAATTATATGTTTTCTTTAAAGAACGAAATAAAGAAGAACAACATTTATCCATTAGTCTACTCTTCTATAAAAAAGAATATCACTCATTATGACTTTAATGGTAAATCCTTCAAGTTAACGTTCATGATTTTTAATCTTGACTTTTAAATTTTCGGGCAAAAAATTCTACCAATCCAAAATCTAAATCCACAACCAAAATCCGCAGATACATGATTTCTAAAGAACCTTGGGAAAAGTCGACAAAAAAAGTCTTTTAAAATTTCTCATGATACGTTTGTACTATATAGCACTAACGGTATAATATACTGAATTTTGAAAGAAATCCATCGTTCATGATTTTTAAATTTTCGGGTAAAAAATTCTACGCGCCGATCCCAAAATCTAAGAATTCGATAAGATTCAAAAGTATATGTCCAAAACTCATTATACGCGATTCGACGCAGTTTTTTTGAGCTGATTTTGAATATGCAATTGGTTCGTGATTCTGATGTTTCTGAACTGCGAGGACTTGCTTGCACTCTTTTTTCTCCTACCAAAACCTAACTAAAATTAAAAGCCTTTTTTATTAATTGATAGCCTGGAAACTCAGCTTTCAGAGTATGTGTGTTTAATTTCTTTCGAAGTTCGTTCTGTTGACAGAAAGAGCAATATTTTTTAAAGGCCACACAAGCCGAGCTAAAATTTGTAGCTTACTTTTCTCGATGACCTTAGACACTAGAGCCAAAATGTTTTCACCATTAAATAGGTCACTGATCACTGTATATGTAGCATCCATTGAATCTCTAAAAATCTCACTTTCGTTTTTTCCCCAAATGTCCGCGTTGTTGCGCACTGTGTATGCATTCTAAAACAACCGCACGAGCTGGTAGGACAAATGTGTACGATATTGTTCTATATTTCAAAAAAAGGCTTACAGTCGGCAAACACGTGGACATAAAACGAAAGTGTTATTCCACGGTTCGGGCATTCTATCGAAATTCCTACGAGTCCCAGAACAGGCGCCCAGTAATTATTGGTAGCCTTGACACAAACGTACGTTTTAATTTTCGAAAAACTTTTTTTATGTGCAAAATTCGAAGATACTTGAGGAATGTAAAAATCTGAAAAGTTCCAAAAACTCTTAATAACTCGGCTCTACATCTTCTTAAATTTTTCAGATAATCTTTTTCGAATAAACTGTATTACAGCATTGTATAGTATTTTACCTTTTTCAAATTCTAATAAACGTCTCTAAAATCAGCGGGAAGGAAATCGATCGTGTACATCAAAAGTTACAAGCAGTTCGGCTGAGAAATCAACAAAAAGAGAGAGAAAGAGGACGCTTGAAAGCATTCGAACAAGATATTATATTTCCAGCTTCACGTGCTGATAAAAATAATATTTTGAAGAATGAGAAAGTTCCAAGTTTCTATTAGAGATTTATACGTATTGAAGCTGCGCAGTATCAGTTCCCTCACCTTTTATCATTCTTGAATGTAGTGAAATGTTTAACATATCTTTCTGAAGAACTGAATGAAAACTTTTTTAATTATAGCAAAAATGCCTGAATCGTGAAGGATAAAAGAGCTATTCGAGAAATAGGGAGAGTACTGTTCTTCACGGTCCACCCCTTTCTTCTGCTCGTTGTTTATTTTTTTCTTTGCTAATATTTGTTCTATCACAAGTAGTTTTACCTGTTCAAATTGTTTACAATCATTTTTAGTTACAGTACAGTCCAAGCTTTGGAAACTTAGACTGGTCGTTACTATGCCAGTTTGTAAAACAACATTTCTTCGTGCAGACAAAGTCAAATTCAAAATCATTTTCTTCTTATAGACGCAACAGACTCGCGTGATTTATAGACAATTTAAAGTAGAAGAAGCAACATTTCTGCTATCAAGAGTTTACGATCTCGTTACCCGTTTGGAGCCAGGATGTTACCGTCATCGTTAGTCAGACTTTTAGTCACTAAGTAATGAAATAAACGTTATCAACCTAAAATTGACTAATGGCAAGAGTAAATATCGAATTTTGTGTGACTGATAAGAATTAGTTGTAAAAGTAACCAAACATAACTCAAGAATAACTTCGCCAGTAACTAAAAATAACAGTAGTTATTAATTTCTTTTCTAATTTGTTTATTTACAAGGGAAGGTCCCCAAGTGTTACTCTCACCTGTCAATGGGACATATCCTATTATCTAGTATATAGGTATTCGAGTGCACTGATCATCGTGCTGATGTCACTGTTCCCCCTATCTTTCCTATCTTCCTGGAAAATGAACTTCAACTTCAACTTGATTTTATTTTACAAACAAAGCTGACTTTACGAAAAAGAGCTACTGAAGGCAAGCAGAAAAAGTAAAAAATACTTATACACACTGCCACCTAGAGTAGCAGCACCACAAGAGAGAGAATATATACATCTATGCTTACCTAGAATTCTATAGAATTCTACGTACGGTACTGACCTAGAATTCTATAGAATTCTATACATTTCCGCTTGACTCGAGCTTGGTCAATGTATTACATATCTACGCTTACCTAGAATTCTATAGAATTCTACAGAAATCTACCTACAGTACTAACCTAGAATTCTACAGAATTCTATACATTTCCGGTTGACTCAAATATATATATCAAATATATATCTATGCTTACGTAGAATTCTATAGAATTCTACGTACAGCACTAAGCTAGAATTCTATACATTTTCGCTTGACTCGAACTTTGTCAATGTATTATATATCTATGCTTACCTAGAATTCTATAGAATTCTATACATTTCCGCTTGACTCAAAGTTGGTCAATATATTATATATCTATGCTTACCTAGAATTCTGTAGAATTCTACGTACAGTACTATAGAATTCTATAGAATTCTAGGTTAGTACTGTACGTGGAATTCTGCTGTACGTAGAATTGATGCTTACCTAGAATTCTATAGAATTCTATACATTTTCGCTTGACTCGAACTTGGTCAGTGTATTATATATCTACGCTTACCTAGAATTCTATAGAATTCAATACATTTCCGCTTGACTCAAAGTTGTTCAATATATTATATATCTATGCTTACCTAGAATTCTGTAGAATTCTACGTACAGTAGTAACCTAGAATTCTATAGAATTCTGTACATTTCCGCTTGAATAAAACTTGGTTAGTGGTAAATGTATCTGTGCTAGCGTGGAATTCTATAGAATTCTATAGAATAGCTGAATTGCAAGAACTCTGACATCCGTCAGAAGGAGGCGAACCCATTACATCTTATGACATGTTCTTCTATGGGTTTTCTCTAAACATCCAGTTTTCATCAGGTCACATTACGACCACTCGAAAAATGGACCGATCGAGGTTGGAAATTTTACCACAGATACTTTACACCCTGTTTGAGATTCGCTTTTTTTCTTTTCAGAAAATATGCTTTTCTTCTAAAGATATCCGAGAACTGCTGAAGGTCACGCAATAATAGTCAGTTTTTTCAGGTGTTTTTCTAACTTTCAGCATTTTCCGGATATCTCGAGAAGAAACGCATATTTTTTGAAAAGAAAAAAAGCGAATCTGAGATAGGGTGTAAAGTATCTATGGTAACATTTCTACCTCGATCGGTCCATTTTTCGAGTGTTCGTAATATGCCTGATGAAAACTGGAGTTTTACAGAAAACCCATAGAAAAACATATCAGAAAAGTCTGGACGAAAATATATCAGTTTTCTTGTTCGATGTTCTATTTCTGGTATGAATTTCATCCCGATCAGACATCGGCTTCCGTGGTTTTCAAGAGGGTCAGAAAAGAGTGAGGAGTATCCTTATCAGACAGCCCGTACTGACATCAAACTAGGAGATGTCGTAATAAAATAGTAATACACGTACTACACCTAATAAGGATTATTACCACTTCTGTCATATACTGGTAATGATTTGTTATGAAGCTTCATATTTGGGTCCGAAACAAGAACCAATGCTTGTTGTATTGGATTGTAGAGCCCTTCAATGGCCTATCCTCTATCGTACAACATGTGTTGGTTTAGCGCTTGTATGATCCATTTAGGGTTCATTTGTTGAATCCATTGTATTAAAACCTAATAAACTTGAATTTTCTATCAATCACGATGAATAGAGATGGATAAAGGGACGAGTGGAGCGATTAATTCTACTTGGTAAAAGTAATTCAATCAGCGCAACTCTCGCAAAAATAACTATCGGCATGAGTGAAACTCTTCATTACTGCTGTACGTGCCTAATGACTATCTGAGAAAAAGACATAAAATGAGTTTGCAAATACCTTTTTCCAGAGAGAATCTTAGCTATCTTGTAGAGCGTCATTTGCTCTATTCAAATCTATATGGTTAGTTTTTTATCTTTTATGAAAGTGGGAAAAAATATTAATAATTGATTTTAGCTGTATTTTTCGTGAATGGAGAACTTGGAATATTTTTCTGATCGTTACTGTTAAACGTGTTAGCAGCAGTACCCATCAGAAAAAGGATTACATTATTACATTTATTACAGGTCACATTATCTTCTTGATGTTCATAATCACTGAGTTTGGATTATTCATTATCCAGCACGATTACCATTTAAAATCATTAGAATCATTTTCATATTCGGATGAACAAGATCAAGGAATTAATAGTAGGTGACGCTCTCTAATTACATCAAAACCAATAACTCTACAATTGTTCTCTTCTAGTTCGTCATAAAGTAAAAGATATTATCGAATTGGTTCAAGACGATGATCATCTACGAGATGAACGGAATCACAGTCGTATCGTTATGGTATGTATTGTCTTGGATGTTCGGCCGGATAAATGAACATTAATAGTTAAAAAAGGAGCTTCGGGAATTTTATGAGAGGAATATATATTTTTTTTGAGAAAGTTTGCAACACTCTAGTAGGCATGCACCGGTTATTAAAATTTTTTCGAGTAGACAGTTTTGTGTAGAAATGTTTGCTCTACAAAATAAGACGTTGCAGACTTTCTCACGATGGTTCGTCGATGAGATATGAATCTTTTGCTCTTAAATAGGACCGATTATTAACCGGTCAGTTTTTGAGGTAAACACTCTGTATCCCATCGACGAATCATCGTGAGAAAGTCTGCAATGTGTTACTTTGTAGAGCAAACATTTCTACACAAAACTGTCGACTCGAAAATGTTTTAAAAACTTTCTCCGATTTTTGAAACTACTGTCCCCAAGAGCCTCGATAAAATAACCGTTGCATGTCTACACTCTAGTAATAGATAAGCCATAAAGAATGAGTCTCTTCGTATTTCTCAGGAAGTTCTTCTAATCTTTCACCATCTTTTTTCGATAGTTAAAACAGTCTTCATTCAGTTCTTTACAAAGATATGTTAAACATATCGCTACGTTCAAGGGCGATAAAAGGTGACCAAGCTGACACTGCGTAGCTTCAGTACATATAAATTAAGAAGCTATTTTTTCCGTTCTATTTTCATAAAATATAAAAAACTGACAACAGCCATTTTGTTACACTTCAAAAGCGCTATCGACTGACTATATTTTTGCAATCTTTTAGTCACAATTGATTCAACAGAAATACTTTTTTGTCAAAACTTTTCGTTCTCGACGATTATTTTTTCGTATTTGGATAGATTTTCATTCAAAACTTCGGCGAAATCAAACATTTGGGGAAGTTCTAGTCTGACACACCGAAACTCATAAATTTAGTACAATGTGGCTTTTACATCAGAAAACTAGATGAAAAAGCGATTTTGTATTATATATCAGTAGAGCGAGAGAGAGAGAGAGGACGCTTGAAAGCATTCGAACAAGATATTATATTTCCAGCTTCACGTGCTGATAAAAATAATATTTTGAAGAATGAGAAAGTTCCAAGTTTCTATTAGAGATTTATACGTATTGAAGCTGCGC